GGGGGGGGGGCGCAGATGACGCTGTTGTCGGTATACACGCGTAAAAAGAGAGACCGCGGCCGAAGAATAAACGATGGCCCCGCACGTAATGTCGGAGACATTAAACATTTTGCTGTGGTCCTCGACTTCTTTGATCGACCAGTTCCTTTCTCACGTGAATTTCCCTGCAACGTGGCGCGTTGCTGTTGCGCGTCTCGTTCGTCTCCATCATCAAGTGGCAGGAAGAAACCGCACCGTCAGACAAAAGACACAGACGAAAAAGCATGGCGAGCGACCGCGCGCCTACCACGACACAGGTGCTGAGAAAGCGGTTACATATGCGTAGGAAAAACGCTCGTTAACATGTAGAGCGACAAAAAGCGTTGCTCGGGGTCACTACTTTTTTCGTCGACCATTTACCTCGTACTGCGAGATATCGAACGTGTAGTTGGTCGCTGCGGTCGCGATTCCCTCCGTTGTCGAGAAGACGGTATCTTTCGAAGTGAACAGCGCGGGACCAGTCACCCCTGCGGAACAAGAAACCGGTCAAGAACGGTTTCGAAGCATGCACGTGACGTCATGATATGTACACGTGAAAGTGTTTTTTTCGACAAGCAGCTGAAGCAATGAGTCGACGAACAGAAGTAAAAAACATGAACGAGCTACTGTTCATAGCGGGATAAGCACTGTCAGTATCCTGTGCCCAAAGCAAAACGATGCAGCATGACAACACGTCAGCGTGAAAAACAAAAGTCGCTGGAATATGAGCTCGAAAAGGTCAACTTGTATCTGTAACTGCTTGCAGGAAACAAGGGTTGTTGTATGTCCGCCCCCCGCCCCCTTCCTCCCACTCGAAGTACTGATGTTGCACTTGTTGCCTCATTTAGAACCGCCAAACGATCAAGCAATCGGGGGACACATACACACGAATTTGGAGGCTACTACCGTTGCATGTTCGACGTACAAAAGAAACTGCCAAGAAGACAAACTAAATAATTGCTGGGCTTGCAACAGACATGAGAGTTTTGGTGTGGTCAGTGCCGCAATAAATACGTGTATCTCTAAATCCCAGCGGTCCCAATGCCATGGTCAAGACTCGTGAGCGTGCTGATATATTGAAGTGCCGCTGCAGTCGGGCAGTGCTGGGTACCTAGTACGCACACGCACTTCGTTCGCGCCCCCGCTATCAAAAGAGGCCCTCAGCGCGATCTGAATAATATCTTTCCACGGGTGAAGCGTGCCGTAGTCGTTGGGCTATTGACCTCCTATCCCTATGAAGCCGGGACGGAGCATGTCATGCCGGGTTCTCACCGGACCAGGTTAGCAAATCACCAACCGCGGAGCGCCGTGAGGTATTCGGCGAGTCGCATGGAGGGCGCGCTGCATCCTGCTAAGTAAGGGTGTTCGCATCTTGTGCTTACTTCCTTGTTTACGGATGACAGCTGCGAATGGCTACATATATTCTCCGGTGCTTTCGCCCCCAGAGACAGTTGTAAGCACTCGGTGCAACTGGTTTGAGGGTGCTTGACCATTTCAACACAAAGTGATGCGATCATCCCCTTTGCGCGGAGTTGGGGGGGGATGTTTTTTGGCGGGGGGCGGGAACATTCTTACAGATACCCCCGTTGTTTTTTGCCGAGGCGTTTTAGCTGGACATGCACCGAAGATCCCCGGGTTACAAGCTGAGGAATTTTCGCTCAGGCTGCTGCCGCTGTGTCGTTGTGTGGGTGAATGTCATCTGGGCATACTTGGAGACCCCCGGGACGTGGCGAGCATCACCCCGCGACCCCCAGGCTTGTCTTCAGAAGCTTCTCATGCCTTCCCCGAACATCGTTCTGCAGCCGCCTCTAGAACTATTTGTCAAGGAATACTCCTCCAAAGTGAACATCAGTTCGGTCTGTGGGTGCACTCTTGGATACACCTGTTCTCTTGGTCGTGCCTACATGTACCCACTACATACAACCAAAATAGCACTACTTACTGTGTGTTGTGAGATGTGTTGTATCCAAGCAACAGAACGCGAACGTTTGGAAAGGTCATAACCTCTTTCCGAATGGTTTATCTTCTCTTGGTGATTCATGGAAACTTTGGAAACTTTTCAATTTTTCGATTGTCCACCCCCGGGTGGGAGGCGGGGGGGGGATCCGAAATTGTCGTATGTGAACATTCTCGCTTGACTGCCTTTTTTATCATTCGGGCGTCAAAGGGTCGCCAACACAGAACGCTTAACAAAATGCGAGCGGGCTTCAGATATTATTAGATTTTGCGTGGTGTAGATATATCATCATGGATGTTGATTTTCCGCACTTAAAACCGTGGACGCATACTGCTGTACGACGGCCGGACGAGCCGCCACCAGGCGAGAGGGGTCTGTTCATCCTGCTGCTGTTCATCCTGTTGTCCCCATACACAAGGTAGCAGACCGCTCGCTCTCTCTGTCGGAGCAAGTGTTTTCCTAGGCAACCAGCAACAGCGACGCGGGGCATGGGTTTTTTTCCTCTACTGCTGTAGGTACACCCCTGATTCATAGAAAATATGTGACGTTAGCCGAGGGAGTGTCCACAAAAAGTGCATGTCCTTCATCGAGAGGTTTGACTGTGAGTATTATAGTAGAGAGACACCCTTTACAATTACCGCAGGTTGCACAAGACATCACACCCCCTGGACCGTTTTTCAAAGCTTGGTTACTCGGCAAGGAAAGAAGTGACGGTGCCTAATATGTCGGAGTTGGAACATCAGTGCCGTCGAGAGTTTTGCGTATCGTTTGCCTTCGGCATCCTCTTGGTCGCGGAGTATTCGAGGTTTGAAAATCTGTCCAGGGGGTATGGTATCTTATGCAACATACGGTACCGCTGTAAGAGGCATTGGCCGATTTCCGATTGCACTTAACGTACACTGAAAAATGTAGTACACGTCTCACCACGAAAGATGGCGGGACTGCGGTCACCATGAATTAATAGGACGAAAACACACACACACACCTTAACCAAGCTTGTGCTAACACTTCAAGTGATGGTTTTGGAAAAACACCTCGTCGAGGACTTTCGTAGATGGCTCGGGCGCTTTCCTCGCCCCCGTGGTCGTGGGTCGTGGAGCAATCGACCTTTACAAGTCGCTCTAGGGGGGGGTGCCACCTCTCCGCCTCTTGCTCGTGGGAGAATCATCATCGCAATCGACCATCTCCTTGTCGGCAAATCTGTAGTCTACACACTTTGAACAAGATGCGAGGTGCATGGCGTTCGGATTTCGGTAAAATCTAGTTACATTTCTTGCTCGTGGCCACACCACAGGTGGTGCGATATGTTGTGCGATATATATATATATATATATATATCTGATTTGACTGGAAGAAAATCGGTCCGGCGTCAAGGAAGGCAAGACAGACTTTGCTGTTTCCGTGCACAAGGGATCGAGACACGTGATTTTCCGAACTGGACGCCACCTCACGGACTCCACAGAGGGAGGGACAGAGGGAAGAGGTTCGTGCGGCACAACATATTCAAGAGGGGAATAAAAGAACTTCGAATTAGGCCACTTGTTACGCTGCCTCTTTTTGGGCTGTCCCTTTTCTCAAAAAGGGACAAAGTTGCCCAAAAAGAGACAGGATGGGGTGATCTTTTTTCGCTGTCCCCTTTCGGGAGGTTCAAAAACGCAAAATAAGACCACGTAACAAGTGGTTTTTGGTCAGTTGTCCCTTATTGAGAAAAGGGACAGCCCAAAAAGAGACAGCGTAACAAGTGCCCTTACTTCCTCAGAGAGACAAAACCTTCGGGCATGTACACAAAAACTTCTCTGCGCACAATGATGTACGTGCGTTCCGGAGCGTGAACAACAGACGGACGGAGCAGTTCTCTGGCGCCGGGAAAGACTCCTAGAGAGAGCAAGCACGGCAAAGCGCACCTAGCACGCCTTCGTTATTTTTCATCTGTACCGCAGCGCACAGGCAGCGACAGCCATCACAGCAGGCACGTGTTGATGAGTTTGATGGCGGATGGAAATACCCGTGCGGAATCGTTTCAACGGAGGACCGACACAAGCAACATGATCCACAGAACGTATCTCTGGATTGGAACTAGTCGTGAGGTCATGGCTAACATCACGATATACCATTCGAGCAGGGGGCGACCACGGTGTAGGAGGATGGCTTTATGCATATCATCCAGCACCGAGAACACGCATGTCCTGTGAGATGTCATTTTTCTTTCCCAGAACCCTCTCACCTGCTACAAGACAGGCAAGTAGTCCAAGCGGATACCCGACTGCGACCAACCCCGTCCATGTTCGCAGCGTCGACATGAAGCCTTTCTCCTGCCACAAGTTTCCCGGATTCTCGTCCCACATACTTCTGTCATTGTTCATGATGTGATGGCGTCACCAGGAATGTTCTCACCCCTCCAGCCATCTGTCACCAGACTACAGCGAAAGGCTGCAGGCGTGCGGACCTGGACGGGCGATGAGCATACCCCTGAATCCTCCTGATTGCGCGCCCCCTTGTCGGAAACTCTAACTGCTGTCGATTCGCCCAACAGGCAGAGGCGGGTGCAGAGCTGGAGTGAAGTCATGGCAGCAACAGCATCTCTCAACGCCGTGCTTCTGGTATCGTGTTATTGCAGTGCAGCGCAAGGCCTTTGCCTCGGTGCGAATCCAGCAGGTTGGCAAAGAAAACAACACTCCTGGCCGAACCAGCAGGGGGTGCGCCAACATCAACAGCCACAGCAGCTTCACCATCATCTACTATACGCCCGCAACCGCCGACGCGCTGCTTTACCCCTTGCTGCCGCCTCCGACGGCAGTAGTAGAAGCAACAGCGAAAGCAGTAGACCTGAGACGACGGCAGGGTTCGGGTCCCGAGCAAGCCGTCGTAGCAAGAAAGGTGTGTCTACTGGGTGCGGGTTACGCGACATGTTTCCACGAGCGGTGGTGATGAGCCTGCAACCACATGACTCCGCCCGCCAGCTCAAAAGCGCCTTCTTTTGAACGACGTTGGCGTGGCTGGTGCGATTTACAGAAGGGGCTTCTTTTCATGAAGACTCGTAGCTCGGATATGATTCAGTGGTTATTTGGAGGTAGAGTGATAGGCATCGTCGTTGCTCATCGGTTTGTTTTCTATATTAGCGCGCTTGGGCAAAATACCCTGAATAGCCCATGTGGTACCTTACATGCGCCCGGCTGTGTTCGCCCCGCCGTGCATCACATGCGCACCCCCGGCGCGGCAGCAGGATTTCGTTTTGTGACAACCAATTGTGACGTACATTCAAACTTGTTATTATTTCACACCCTCCGCGTAACAACCAACTACAGCAGTGAATGCGCCCTGCTCACGAGCCTATTGTTGACTGGCTTCACGAAGTGTTGTTCATGAAGGCAAAGAGTAGATGTAAAGCTGTGTTGTTGCACTGCTGCCAAGGGCACCCGGCATGGCCGTTTTTCCCCCGCGATTACGTGTATATTCTGTTCGGCATATTTCCACGCAAAATGCAAATGTTGCTGCCCTAGGCTGGCTTACGCCCATGGGAAAAGTTAGTTCGCCATGCTGTGCATGATGGTTTCCACACCCGGCCCCAGGCCCGTCACAGCTGTCGCACACTTCGGTGTTGCACAGCAGTGTCAGCTCTCAGTGGGAACACTCGGTTCCAATTGAGGTGCAGGTTATCAACCGCCCTCCCACAGCCCTCGTATCGTTGCAAATCACGGTGACTCCCGCAATTTTTCGCCCTGATCCTTATCCCTCCTAGTACTCTGTTAGTTTCAGGCTATGGGCCCAGAAAAAATCGCGTCCGCTCATTGGGAGAGGCTGTACAGTCCGGAGGGCAGAAGGCTCACTTGGCTTCAGTATTGCAAGTGTCCCCAAAGGCACTGGGGACACTTTCTATGCTGAAGCCGAATCAGCAACTTTTCCATTACTAGGTTATGTACAGCAGTTTTGCCCTCAAGGGGACCCGCGGCTTGGGAGATTTTGTACAGCAAGTCAGAGGCCCAGGAGAGCGACACAGGCGTCCCACACACCAACGTACCACCTCTCAGAAGCATGCTAGACCAAGGTTTCCCACGCGCGTTTCACGCAGCGGAGTATAGTGACCACGTTGCGGTACACAGGCATTCAAGTGTTGTGTCCCCAAAGTGTCTAGATGTGGGCTCCCAGTACTGTTCACCCAGAAGTGGCTTTGTCGCTCTTTTGGTTCCTTCTGCCTAATACCCCCACCCATGGCCCAAAAAACAGGTAGAATAAACAAGAATACCGACAGCAAGGGTGGGCTCGCTACCGCTGCTCCAGCAGTCGTTTTGTTGAAACGATCGAGTCGGTGGGCGTGCGTGAAGAACTGTGGGGCCTGCTGCTACCTCGCCCCAGATGAGAGGCCGGACTTGGCGGGTGAGTGAAACCCGGGGAAGGAATAGGAGTGGGTTGAAAAGGCGGGAAGTGAAAATATCATAATATCTGTAGGACAGATAAGATGGGGAAATCATTTCCGAGCCACCTTTTGGCAATGTAGGAAGGCCGTCTGTGATCGGTGCTGTGGGAACAATGCTTGTTCCTCTCGAGGACGTGTGGTCAATAATCCTACCGCAAAGGCATACAAAACATGAGCACGCCCTGCCGGGGCACATCTGGCTAAACCCAAGCCCCTCTCCCTGTCCCCGATACCAAAGGCGACGGGTACCGTTCCGAAGTGCTGTTTAACAGGAATAGCCGCAAAACGCAAAGAGGAGATGATGGCCTCGCCCGTGTTGTGACGTCCGAACGCCTTCGACCTGTTTCTTCCAAAGGCCGTTCGTGCAAGGAGAAATTGGATTTCCACGATAGTGCCGCTGCAACGAAATGTTTTTCTTCGTGCCGGCCAGCTTACTCCGCTCCAGCGAGAGGTCGATTTGCGATTTGCACAATTTGTGACATCAGACTTCTCGTTACATCGGCGTAAGATGCCCTCTGCTGCTGCTGCTGCTGCTGCTACTGTGAAAGTTAACATTCAACTTGCCACACACGTGCAGTCAGCTGTTTTCGGTAATATCCTCCTGCAACCAAAACAAATTTTCAACTGGACGCCAAGTTCGACAACCATCTGACTGTTCAGTCATGTACCATCTTAGGGCGTTATTTTTTTCTGCTACAGCGGTAGTGGTCCCCAAGTAAGGCGATCGATGTATGTAAGGCGGGTGAAATTGGCTGGCATAGACAAGTCATTCTGCACATTGAATAAGTTGACCGCCCCATAAAAGTCGGCCATATGAATCATCAGCTGCACCACTATCACCTTGTTCGGGAACCCCCGCTACTCCTGTATGCCGTTCTGTCCGTTTTTTTTTTTTCTCAGAATATCTCCCAGACCCGGAGGAATTTGACTTGTACATGTCCATGACGGGCGGCGACGGCTGGTGCAAGCACTTCGACAAGGAGAGCAGGGCGTGCACCGTCTACAGCGATCGCCCGCGCTTCTGCCGAGTGGAGATGGAGACGTTCGGGAGCATGTACGGGGTGGAACCCGAGGACATGGACGACTTTTGCTCGTCGTGCTGCACCGAGCAAATAAGTGACGTTTACGGAGCAGAGAGGTGAGGTAGATGGATATGGCTTTTGAGTAAGTAAGCGACGTCTACCGAGAAGAGAGGCGAGACAGACCGGATAGATCATGGCTTGAGCAAATAAGTGACGTTTTACGGAGCAGAAAGGCGAGACATTTAGAAGCCGAAATCAACAAAGACAGACAAGACAAGATAGATGCGGCTTGAGCAAAATAATCGATGTTCACGGAGCAGAGGGGCAAGACAGACGATAAACACATGTGGCTTGACTCTTCCTCCGGTAGCGAATTGGTTCAAAAGTGAGCTTTCCGGGTGTCGCCTATAGTGGAGGTTTCTTGTGCCTGCCATATGGCTCGATCACCCCTGCATGCTGCGGCCGGTTTCAATTATTTCGTATTGTGTCTCGGGATGGCGTCCTAATCACAAGTTAGTACGCTGCCGATGCCCCCTTCGCTCATTGTGCGCTTGACTTTTGGCAAGTCTGTGCTTGACTGAGCTACGGGCCTCCCTCGCAAAAGCAACGTCGTTCTGTCGGCTCGAAAAACATAAGGGTTTCCGCCGTATGCGTGCATCGTGTACGCTCGGCTTGTTGAGCGCTGAATCAATAACAACATTATTTTTCACAACGCTGTGGCAGGCAGGGGCCCGAGTGAAAGCAGCTCCTCTCACGCGCGTGATGTAGACCCGGCGTTTGCTAGCCTCCAGCACGTCCACGACGATAAATCCGGAGCCCCGCTATTTGGGATGTCGGCGTGCGTACTTCGTTGTCACGCTCGCGAGCTTTCGTCGAGTGGGCTTTTCTGCACAGAGGAGAGTGAGACATGGGCAAGGCAAGTAGAGAGCCTCGCGTGTCAAGTTCATCACACCCATGACACACACAGAGCCCCCGGAGAACTCGGAGATCCGTATTCTGCCGAGTACACACAATCAAACCCCTCCTCCCGGCCGCCGCTACTCTCATCATGCCCCCCCCCCATTTCAGCAAGGAGTTGCGGGTTTTCAACGAGGCCCTCGCGGCGCTTGAGAGAGGGGAGCGGCCAAAGCCAGACCTGAGCGCGTTTGGCGGTGACCTTAGGGGACAGGGAGAGGGGCAAATTCGAGACTGGGGCCTGGAGGATGATAGATAGCGGGTGCAAATATGACACGTGTTCGCTTCCTCTGCGCACGGAAAGGAAATTTGCATGCACGGGGCCACCATCGGCTTCTGTCTTTCGCATTGACCTTTCCAAAGGGGGCTTTGTCCCCTGAAGGTGTTCTTTTTCGGCCTATGCATCTTCAAACGTAAAAATACCGAGGGTACAAGGTTGTCTTCGCGTGAGGCTTTCATCTTGTCCGCTTTTGAACCGCGCCACTCGCGGTGAATCTTAGAGGGTCTTCCGTGAGTATTCGCGAAACACTGTACACTGTTATGTATCGCCTGTAGGGTTATGTTACTCTGTGAGACCTAGACCTATCCACAAGATGAACAAGTACGATTATTGAAGGACTTGTTCTCGCGGTTTCGTCGATCGCCCCAGCTGCACCTACACGTCCCTTTCTTCCCCTCGCTGCTTCGGCAAGGTTTTGCGTAGGCATGACCCATAGCGAGGGGGGGGGCGGGGGGGGGGCGGGGGCGTACTCTTATGTTTTGCATGCCTTAGCGGTTAGACCATTGACCACGCGTCCTCGAGAGGACGGAGCATTGTTCCCACAGGACCGATCACCGATNTCCTATGTCCCAGGACAGCTACCGTCCTTTCCCCTCTATTCCATGCCTCAAGCATCTCCCTGTACGTTCCATCTATTTTTCCCAGCTCAGTCACGTACACTTCCCTCTCCTTCTTGTACAACGGACATTCCGCGACTACATGAACACGGTCTTCGCATTCGAAGCCGCAATCACATTTGAACTCGTCGTCTTCCTCGTCTACCGTCCTATGTCTTCGTCGACGTTCTCGAAGGCCTATGTCCCCGGTCCTGAATTTGACCTTAAGCTTTGTTCCTGCATCCATTGGTCCATGTAGGTAGTCCTTGAACCCCATTCCTTTCTTCAACATGCCGTACACTTCTAGCCCCTCCTTATCCTCGGTTTCTTTCTTTAGATTCTGTTCTCTCCCGGCACAAGCAACATATATCTTCTCCTTGAACCCCTGGACCCTCCGTTTCCAGCGTTTCATCTTCGTCGATGTCGAGCCCCTTCCATACGTCCTCTACAACCTTGACCCATTCCGTGGGTTGTCTACCCCTCTTTTTGTTTGCCCACTTCGCCTCCCATAC